CAACTCGCTGCCTCCCCGTCTCACCTGCCAATCAGGTCAAAGGTCACAACTGCGTTAGGATAAACAGATCGGGCCGTGTGACACACACAGAGCGTCTGTCGATATTCAGGAAGGTTTCGGCTGCACTCCGAGCGCTCCGCAGGCCTGACGCTGCACTTCCTGTCAGCTCCGAGCTCGTGTTCAATAATCCGCCCGGCCAGGATGAAACAAAGCATCCGCTCACCAGACAGTGTCTCCAAGCCAGAGCTCAGAGTTCACACAGCTGAGTGTAGCAGACCTGTAGCTGAATATCTGCGACTGCATTACATGTAAACACACAAACAAAAGGAAGTGCACCGTCACGCACTTTAAAATGGACATCAGGGAGTTTTACTGACAGGATATTTGAAGCTAAATAAACACCTGAATATGGTTTTATCGCCTTTGTTTATTGACAGTGGTGCGTTTTGTAGACCAAATAAAATTTAACCTTAAACCAGATTTTATTTCATTTTAAGCTTAAGTTTGTTTTTGTAGTTCAGTCCCACAGAAGTGAGTTTGCTCATTTCACTTTCAATTTCCATTGTCTGGAAATGATGAGTTTCAGTTTAGTTTTCATGAGTTTTGATGGTAGTTTTAGTTTTGTTCTTATATATTTGGAGGTTTTGTCAGGTGCAAAATTGTAAAAGTTAACACACTTCATACACATTCAAGTCCCAGACTCATTAAACAGATGCACCAGATGTTCCTCAGGCTGGTTGTGTTGTAAATAAAGTAAAAAAAATATTGTTTACAGCAGCTTTATTGCAAAGTCTAGTTTTTATTTTTACTGTAGCCAATTTATTCTTGGTTCACTATAATAACTTTGCCTGAAACTGAATCTTTAATGAACCATTTTAGGTTTTCTCAGCAGAAAAACCCACACAGACACATTCCACTTTAAGTTTTAGATGTGGGAATTAATGCAGACAATGATCAGTGACAGACTGGACATTTATTTATTGGCTTAGATGACTGTTATTGCAATAAAAAAAGAGTTTATATCTCAGATGAGATGGATCATTTTAATCACAACAAGAGAGTACAAGTGGATTGATATTTTCTGTCGAGGTTGTTGAGACTAAATATGAAGCAGCTGAAGGACAATGGCATTTATTAGAGGACCTCTAAACAAGAGACGGTAAATGTAGATGAAATGTAGAATATAACAATGTGAATGTTCCTACAGAGGAGCAGCAGCGTGAGTAACAGTGCGAGGTTAAAACGAGGGGGAATCGCTGGCCTTTACCATTAGCATAAAGCTGTAGATGTTGTGAAGTTGTATCAGGTGTGAGCTTCACTGTAAAAGCAAACATACCCGAACCACAGAGGCTTCTGTGAATGACTGACGATAGCTGCTGCTCGTAGCAGTGGTAGGTTTGTCCACCACTGCTTTCAGGTTTAAATATCAGCAGCTTCACTGTAAGCCAAACAATGGAGAGGTCAGAGTATCAACTGTATTTCCACTCTTGTGTCTTCAAATGTTTCTGTCTCTCTGTTTATTTTTGTGCTGCTCTGACCGCTCACGTTCCTGCCAACGCTGTGGCCTCTGCACTCTGACACCGAGGACGTCTGTGGTCCTACATTGTGCTGTCCTGTGTAGCGTCCTGCTCACACAGACACGTTTTAACCTCGTGTTGTGTTTAGAACCTCGTCTCGTTCGTTGGATCCTTTTAAAATGTTTGTCTTTGTTTCAGGTGAGGATGTTTGGTCGTACGCAAAGAAGCTGCCACACTTATTCCAGCAGGGCGGCGTCTTCTACAACATCGTTAAGAAAGACATGGGTAAGCAGGCTCTGTGTTGAGCTACTTTTTTAAAGGCTTCTTTGCTAACTAATTATTAGACAGGTTTTAAACATGTGCAGAAACACGTGCGACTGATCAGGTGACGCCTGAGAGCAGAAAAGTTCAGTGAATAAAATCCACGAGGCTGCAGGAAATGAAATGTTTCTCCTCAGACCTGATGATCACTGCGCTCTCCCAGTGGCACCTTACAGGAACTCCTTCCCAGAGAAGAAAACGGGGTCTGTTGTGAACATGTGGATTTCGATTAGATGATAGTGCCCAGATTTTTGGTAAATAAAGGAACGTGGAGTGGCTCGCTGATGCGTGCTGAGCTCTGGTCCTCTGCAGCACAGAGGAATATATGTCAGATTTTACAGTCAGATGAAGTTTTATTGAAATATATCGATTCTTGTCACATGCACGTGACTCTTCAGACATGTCTGAAAGCAGATCGGTGTGATTAAAGGATCAGTTTGTTTTCATCTATCATATTCTTTATTGTAAGTTATTGCAAACCCAAAAACTAATAACACAGGATCCTTTATGGCGACTTCTTATTTCCTGTTATCAGATTGTCAGATTGTTGCTGTGTTTCTATCTGATGCTCTGGAGCATAAATGAAAGCAAATGGTGCATCCCACCTGAGGGAGGGAGAACAGCTGTGTTATTAAAGTTGACCTGTTGTGCGTTTATTTGTTTACCTGTCATAGATATATTGTTACAATGGTGGATGGTCAAGTCAGCCGCGAACTCGCTGTGAGCCAAACACTGTTTTTCTACTCTGGGATCTGTGTGACGGCACTAAGAGCGGATATCGCTAATATGGTCATTTGAATCTTTGCAGGTGTTTCAGAGCACGTGACTAAAAGCATGAGCTGAGTTTGATCATAAGAGAGCTTAAAGAGAAACAAAAT